GTGACCCAGTTTTCCTGTCTGAGCTAAGTATATTTCTGATTTTTATGGCTGTTGAAAATTCAACTGATTTTCTCTCCTCTTGACCAACTGTTACTGGAAACAAGTCCGGAGGTGACTTGTAAAACCATGTCTGGGTTTAATAAGGGATTGGAGTGTGGGAATGAAATAAGTGTTTTACAAAGTAAAGAATAATCTTTTGTGCAGAATGAAATTCAGATTTTAGTTTGTTTATAGCTTCAGGAAAATTGTAATGTGTGGTGTTTCTTCAATGGTTTCTAAAAATATTTGATTTAAATACACCAAAGAAATGTGGACAATATACATTTTTGTTCCTTGGAGGAAGGTAGTTTGTCAGTGATTTAAGGTCCTGCCCCAAAGTCAAAGACCACTGTGATGAGTAACTCAAGACCGTGTATAAATATGCTAACCAGTAAAACCAGACTGGAAAGTGTCATGATTGATTGTTTTAGAGACACTCATCATAGAACATTACCATTTTTTCTAGGGAGTGTCCTTATCTACAAAATGAAGCCACTTTTTCCTAAACTATACGGTAAAGGCAGCCAGCAGTAATGTAGGTGATAACCTTAAATAATCCAAAAGTAACTTTTGATGCTTGGATGATTTACCTTCTTAGTTATGTTTTACATCACTTGCTACCCAATAAAAACGTAGCACATTTTCATGGTGTTTAAGGTTGGCTTAATAATCTGTTTTAAAATTTAATTTAATTTTTCATTTTTATTTTTTATTGTTGTTCAAGTACAGTTATCACCATTTTCCTGCCACCACTTTCTCCAGGGTTTAATAATCTTTTAATTAAAAGGTGAATATTTATAATCTATGACGTGGTTCAGAAAAAGGATCTGTCAGATCTTGAAGGAAAAGGACCACAGAAACACAGCCCCAATTATTGCTCACAGTTGCTGTAGGTAATTTATATAATCTTCTAAAGGACAATTTGGCAATAGGAATGAAAAACCATATAATGTACATTTTAAAATACAGTAATTCTAGGAACTTGCAATGGAGAAATAATGTTGTGTGCATAAAGATGCATTGAATATACCAAGGATGTTCCGCACAGGTTGGCTGATGCTACCAGAAGTTAGAGTCAAATTAAATGTTCAACAGCAGAGACTTGGGTAGTATAAATCAACAATCATTGAAAGTGATGGTCCAGATTTATACTTCTGCAGCATATATTGGTAAGAAGTCATTTCAAAAGAGAATGTATTGTATGAAGTTATTTTCTGATTGAAGCTATTTCCTAATTTATTTTCTGTTAAAATGATTTTTTTCATGTCTAACAAAAAGTCTGGCAGGCTGTGAGTTTTCAATTGTGGCTACATTTAAATGCTGCATTTTGGGGTGATTGTTTCTTTTTTTTACTTGTGTACATTTTAAAATCCCCCCCACTCCACGTGCCACCATAGGAACATGAATTACTCATGTAATGATCTACCCCAGTTATTACTCTTATAATGACTACAAAGATAAGAACACTACCAACATTTTTTCAGAGAGCTGTATGTTTATACAAAACATGTCAAAGAAAGAAAGTTTAATTTTTTATTTAACAATCATTTCTATCACATTTACTGTATTACTATATGCCTGGCATAGGGTCTTTTTTTTTCTGTTTCCCAGACTATCTGTCTCCCTGTATATTTTTATACAGGGAAATGCACTATTTTTGGTGTACAGGTCTATGAGTTTTCTTTAACACATACAGCAGTTGTAAAGATTCATCACCTCTCTCCTTATAGACTCCTTTGTAGTCCTCTGTAGCAAAAGCACACCCAGCCTCTAGGCTCTGCAAGCCACTGGGCTGTTTTCTGCCCCCGCAGCTTTGCCTTCCCCACGGTGCCGCAGGACTGTGATCAGGCAGTATAATATACACTTGGAGTCCAGCTTCTTTTACTTAGCATAATGCACTTGTGAGTTATGTTGTTGTGTGGGTCAGTAGGGTTTATTTTTTATTTTTTTATTGCTGACTAGTATTCAATTACATGGATATACTACAGTGTGTTTATCCACTCACCAGCTGAAAACATTTGAGTTGTTTCCAGTTTTTAGCAATTTTGAATAAAGTACCTACAAATATTTGCATACAGATTTTTATGTGAACCTATGTTTATTTCTCTTGCGTAAATAACTAGGAATGAGACTGCTGGGTCATCTGGTTAATTTTAATTTTATAAGAAGCTGCCAAAGTGTTTTCCAAAGTTGCTCTACTATTTTGCATTCCCACCTGTAATCTACGAGGGCTCCAGTTGCCTCCTTGTTACCACTTAGTATGGGCAGTTTTTAAAAATGTCAGTGGCTGCTATTTGAAATATTCACAAATACTAACTCATTGAACTCTATGAAATAAATGTTATTACTTACCTCACCATAAATAATAGTAATAGAGATTTAATGACAATAATTTAATACTAATTTGAGTTGTTTAATACTATCTAAATACCTCATCAATTTCACTGTAACTGAAGGAGACGTGAAGTGACTGTCTCGAGGTCACGCCCCCTGTAAGTGCAGAGCTGAGTGGGAAGCCAAGCCATCGGCCTCCAGGACACATGCTCTTTATACTGAGCTGCCAACGACTGTCTTTCAGTCACTACAGGAAAGAAAGGTTTTTAATACTTTCATTGGCAGTTTGAAAGTTCATTTATTTCTCATCTTGGAAAGTTAGCTAAAATTTATTACATTTCAATTTAATTTTTGAAAAATGTGTAGGGTGGTTCAGCACAGGACATGCGGATCACCTAGTTGAAGGATATCACCTGCCTGGCTCCTGGGAGCTCTTTCAGACTGCCGTGAACTTGCTGCATGGCCATGGTCCAGCCTCTGGCTCTCAGCACTGCAAACCCAGGTACTTGATCTTTTTTTGGTGTCCAGAAATGACTGAACTCGGCCATGCTGGAAGACTCAGGACACAAAGTTCATGAAAAAACTGATATGTTACACATAACAGTAATTTATTAATTTCTAATGAGAAATACAGCGATCAAAGGAAATAAATATTCATTTCCATTTGACAGCATATCTTCTCCCTGTCGAAAAACTCAATGAGGAAGGAATTTGTAACCAGAAGGCATCCAGGTGTGCCTAGGTACATACGCAGGAGACTTTCCTGCTCTTAATAGTCCGAAGACTTTAAACTCTCAATCATAGACCTAAGTCCAGTCATTCTGTGCCTGAAACGTCCCTACTTGTCCATTGTACAGTATGCGTCATTCTTCCCAGGGGCCATGGAGAAGGATCAGACGCTCTGGATGGGGACGTTCAATATCTATCTGCCTTTTCATTGCTCCTCCTCTCATCGCTACCTTTCTTAGACACGGCTCTTCAGTCTAATAAAAATCAATTCTTATTTTCAACAACCTAGGATTTGTTTATCATATTATGTACCAAAACTGTTCTAGAAGTACATAATCAACAAAAGAAAAAAGCAAACCAAATATAACCAGAGACATTGAAAGTAAGAACAATCTAACAACAGCCAGAGGGGAGGGGGAGGGGACAGTGGGGAGAAGGGTTTTCAGGAACTACTATAAAGGACATGTGGACAAAACCAAGGGGGAGGGTGGAGGCAAGGGAAGGAGGTGGGTTTGGCTGGGGTGGCAGGGAGGGGTGGGGAGAAAATGCAGACAACTGTAACCAAATAACAATAAAGTAATTTATATATATAAACAGTATATATATATATACTGTTCCAGAAGTAGGAAATATAGCTCATTTTAGGAATCATTCTGTCCTTTTAAGATTTCAAAGTATCTGTTCTTGGATCAGTTACATGTCATTATATGGTACAATTGCCTTCAGGACAGCCTCATTCATTAGCTCTTTCGGTCACTTCACTGTGGTTCCCATGTACTGACTTAGGTCTTGGAATTTGCAATCACTCATTTTTTTTGTCTCTCTCCACAACTTCTGGTTTCAACCATAACCAATGTGTGCATGCCTTTGAAGTCTAATTCTTTTTTTTTTTCCAAGAATTGGGGAAATATAGATTTTTATGTGAATAATAAGTGAATACGCTAGTTCTACATAACAGTTTAAAAACAGCACAGCAATTCCCCAACCTCCCGTTCCCCCAACACATGCACCCGAGTCTGGTGGCTAGTCGGGCCAGTTTACACACCTGCTTTACAGTGTTCTTGTAACACCACTGATACTCCAAAAGTGACCACATTGAGACTGAAATATTCAGCAGCTAATTACTTTTTCCTCGTCCTAATACAAAGCCCTGGGAATAAAGTCACTCTGCTTTAAGTGGCAAGTAGCATTTCACTACTCATGTACTGATTCACCTATACAATTTCCAGTGAGGGCCATCTTTGAACACATCTCTGCTAGCCAAAGCTCCAGAATGACTGGTAATGATTTCTTATGTTCTATCTCACATGCTATTGCATTCCATTTCAAATATGGTCCTTTTATTCAATCTAAACAAGACTCCTATTGGTCAGTGGCACATTTATTAAGACAAAAATTTCGGTTTTAGGGTATAGGTCTAGAGGGAAAAAGTGAAGTTCTTGTACTTTAATTTGTATACACCACCAGTTTTCCTCTTATCACTCATGGACAAAAAGTCATGTACTCCTTCAAAGTAAAGGGGAAAACTAAAAATAGCTTTCTCTCCCCCTTTAAATAAAAGGGGAATTAGTATAGACTTAAAGTCAAGTTTGCATTTCTCTTTTATAACAGAAAGCACCAACAAGGTCATGACCTAGCGATTAATAATTAAATAAAATCTCAGAATTTAAGACCAGGTGACAAACTAAATCACATATGTTTTGATATTGGGATAACACCCAAATAAAAAAAAGTACACACATGCCCAGTTGTCACATTTTGTATTTCAGAGAAGAAGCATCAAGGATTCATGCCATAAGCTTATTTACAAACACAGCTAGTGTGTTGTTGAAGGTCAACAGTTTGATCCATTTTTCAAAGAGACTGCACCTCTTAAAATGCTCCTCTTCATATCTGTCTCATGGATTAACTGAAACATCCTTATTTTTTAGCAGTTGGTGACTTACTATAAAAAAAGGTGTAGCAAATCCAGATCCAACGTACACAGTCTTCATAGCTGGGAACCGCCACTTCTTTTCCACCAAAAACGGCAAATTCTTCCCTGGACCTTCCTCACAGCGGCTCCTATGGACCACAGAGGTTGTGGATCTCCGAATGCTCTGTCCCAACACTTTGCTGTTGGAAGCCTCGAGGAATGGGCTTAAACTGAAAGGGGGAAAAAATGGTGCCATCACCTCAAGTCTAAATCTTTTCTACACATCTCCCCTCCTAAGCTAAATTCATAAATTTCATTTGGCAGATATCACTTTCTGAACAGGGTGCTAGCCTCGCAAACTCAGTATGACTCAGACCGAATTTGTCATTTTCCTCTTACACACTAGCTTTTATTATTGATCTGCTTATTATTTTAAATCAATGTCATCAGTATCATCTCAGCCATTGTGGACTGTAGTCTCCCTGATCCCATTTCTCCTGTGCTCGATGAGTTGACAAGTTGCACGAAGAGCTCCTTTTTTGTGCTTGGCTGTTTATTTTCCATTACCATTGCTGTTGGCTGCTTTAAGTTTTCATATCTTCCACCCTGGATATGAAGGGAGTTGGTGAGTGGAGCTCACTAAATTTACTCTCCTTTTCTATTTTTTCTCTCTTTTTTTTCAATCTGTCCAACCAACGATTGTGATGTCATCAGACACTGGAGTCTGTATACCATGATGGCGACCCTTCTTCCCTCTTTTTGTTGACTCAGAGTACTTCTCTTGGCCTTTCCTTCTGTTAATAGTTTGTGCCCCAACTATTTTATCCTGCCTGGTTGCCACTCTAGAGCTTTGGTGTCATAGCCATTTCTGTCTTTGGCTATTTCCTTTGGACTTAAATGCTTTGCAACACCCCTTGCTTCTTGAGCCTGCTGTTTTCTGAGATGACTTTCATCTATGCTCTTATGCATCTGTCTTCCCTTGTCTCAGGTTAGCTCGCCATCATGATCACCTCTGACACCTCTCTCGCATCTTTTCCCCCCTTTTCACTATGAACCCCACCCTAAACAATCTCCTTTCCCCCTTATCTCCTTCTTCTTTATCTTTTTCTTCCCTTCTGTCTTGTTCCTTCCTTTCTCCTCTGCTAGTCTTGGTGGAAGTTTAGACCATGCCGTCACCCTTTCAATCAAAATCTTCGGTATCTCCCAATGAAAGAAAATGCTTCTCATTTAAATACACAAGGCACTTCCCATCTTGGCCAAGCCTCTGTCCTCAGACTGAACTTGATGACTCTGCTACAGACAGCCTTGTTGCAGGTAGAGTAAGGTCCTCTTTCTCTCCTGGTCCTCCACGGCCTGTGCTCGCCTTTGGTTTATTCTGGTCACTAACTGTCGAAAATGCATTTATTTCTCCTGATCTATAGGAATTCTACTTCTTAAGCAAACTCACTTTTTTTTTCTTTAAGTCTTTCCTATTACCCCAAATCAAGAAAAATACCCTCTGCTGCCTTTAAATTAGAAAAGGACTCTGTTTTTAGGTCATATTTTATTGTGCTTACAAGTTATTTGTATATATCTTTCCTACTCTGCCAGATTTTAAATTTACTGAAAATAGAACCTAGGGTGTATTAGTTTTTATTTTCTCACCTATTTTCTAGCAGATACTTTGCCACTGGAAGGAGCTTAATGGCACAAATCTCCTGAATGAAGGAATGACAAGGCGAGAGTCACTATAGCCTTAAACACAATTCCATTTGGTTATCTATTCATCCCATCACCCTACAGAATAATTTTCTTTTTCAATGCCATACTTGTCGATGGGCCATACTTTGGTCTCTTTTGCCACCTTACAGGCTTTATCCTTGGGCCACAGTCCCCAAAGTGCCTCCTTCTTTTACATTCCTTCTTTTTGAACCTAGTTACAAGCATGCAGGATGCAGCACACCCTCCCTGCATGGGCTGTGTGGGGAAGTCCTGACATAACGCCTGACCTGAAATGCCACCGAGGCAGGTTTGTGCTGGCTGCCCGCCCAATGCAAACAGCAGGGAGAAACGCAGGTGCTCCGCTCGGCACTGCACAGTGAAGCTGTCATTGAAAGGGAACCGCCTGCTACCCAGGGAGTCTTCGCATTTAACTTTACCACAGGGGTCTATTCTGGACTTGTCAACAAATTGCTTTGGGGCTAAGATGGAAAAGAACACATTATCTCCCCTTGTAACTATCAAGAAAAGAAGGAAGCGTCTTCTGTATGTTGGACCCATCCACAAAACAGGTGCATGGCAGGCAGAGAAGCATACGCTATGCTTTAGAAAAGGAGGAATACACTATGTCTAGCTGTTCTACGGAAGAAGAGAATGGGGGCAGGCAATGCCATTGTGCATGCAGGGTACCGCAGTCAGTGGGAACCTCTGTCCCACAGCAGCCTCCTGTTATTCCAGTGTCACTGTTACAGATTAAAAGCCAGCAGCATAAAGCCCTGGAACTGCGGTCTTCTAAATAGTAGTTCGGGGTGGTGGGAGGCACAAGGGTTCAAGTCCCAACTCTACAATTTATTGTTTGTTTGATTTTCGGCAAACTATTTGATTCCCTTGAGATGACTTCCTCAGTACCACTGGGGGTCGGAGCGAGTGATCCGAGTTTGTTTATCTGGCTCTAACGGTCTCAAACTCTGGGATTCATTAGCACTTCTCAACTCCCGTACTTAACACCACGTAAAGCACTGGTCATGAGCACTTTCTAAGGCAGAGAATTTCCTCAAGATTTACAGTGAAATCTCCCTGGCTTGTGCTCACAGAGGGGCAGTGAATAGTTTGAATTATGGGATACTTTTTCAGAAATACCATTTTTTATGACTTTTGAATGGGCACAGTAAATATGCTAGGCTAACAAAATGCTGCCAAGATGTTTTGCCAAATATAGATCTTTGTGTAAATGTATCAGAATGATATGCAATTAGCTTTTATTATTTATACATTGGCGTGAGCTTCTAAAGGCTTAAAAACAGTTTGTTTCCTTGAACAGTTTCACAAGTACCTTAGTCACCAGCCTCTTAGCTACACGATACTCTATGTAGTTTTGTTGGTGCACAGGTAAAAGCGAACTTTTGTTTTCCTCTAGTCTCAAAGCTGAAAGGTATGTGAGATAAATGATGTTTTGAATGATGATGAGTTGGTATTTACAAGATCTTCCTGGATGCATATTTCTCCTGAATAAGCATCATTACTCAGCCCTGGAATCCTGGACTCTGCAGGGTGTGTTTTCCTGTTCACATCATTGATTTGGAAGTTTTGCTTCTTTCTGAACCAATGACATGATTCAGCGTGAAGTTGAAGCTTAAGTTAAAAGCTCCAAAAGATTCTTTGGAGTTGCATCTCTTTTACTCCGTGAGTCACTGGCCATTCCTTCTGCTCCTGTGCCCTTACGCTCCTTCCTATCTTAGTAGCTGCTAGAACGTGGGGCCCCTTCTTACCTCCTCGAATAGGACTTTTCAACTCCAGAGCTCCTCTGTACAACCCAGAAAACACCAGTCTCTATAGGACAAAGCATTGCAGCTTAGGAGATAACTAATGGCCACTGACAACCATGCTTTTGAATTCTTCATTAAGTCATTAACTATTTACTCAATCCCTATCATGAATAAACTATAGGGGAATGAACAAAGATGAATGAGAAACAGCCATAATCTGAGCAGCTTGCTTGCCACCTAGTAGAGGAGACTAATTCCTTCATAATTATGTTGCCATTGTCTAGGGGAACCAACTTTTCCTTTGTCCTCCGGCTTCAATATCCAACACACACTGCGGAAGCTATCACCTTCTCAGCACTGGTGACAGCAAAAGGCACGGACTTTTCATTAGGCTTAAATTATTCCAGAGGAGAAATGACCTCAAGACAATATTACTTGGCTTAATTGTAGCTTCCACAAAAGGAACAATTTACAGAATTATTACAAAGCACAAAATTGCCTGATAATACATTGAGATTCCTACAATAAGAGAGCAGGGAGAAAGAATAATGGAATTCTTTAAAAACAAAAATTAAACCGAGTTGTTGGGACTGGGTTGGGGAGGGGGAGGATCTGGCTAGGGTCGCATCAGCGTGAAGGAAAAAAGCCCAGTGGATTGGGGTGTGTTGACCACCCGCATAAAGATGGAGTCCGTGCTGATCTCTCCATATAACTGCGTGGCTCCCGATGCTGTTAGAAAGAGGCGGCAGATCAGCATCTGACCTGCTGTTTTACCTGTTGGCAGAGAAGTGAAACCAAACCTGTTGCCTGTGAGGCATGCCCCAAGGCATCTCAAGGCCAGGATGACTTTCAGTTGTTTTTCCCTAGCCTGTAGCACCAGTGTCTCCACCATCTGAGTTCATAGGCACATGCTTTCTGGAGACATTTACTTTGTGATGGATTAAGCCCTTATTACCCAGACGGTTCATGTTTTGGGTACTTTTCTATAGCAGGGTTTTGTGTATCTGGAGAGTCCATTGGCGTTCTGTTTCACCTAAGGGAGAGAAGTGATCTGGGAAAAACATATGAGAAATTGCTGAGATTTCATGAATTGTGAATGGGAGAGAGAGAAGAGATGGATGATCTAAATTCTGAGTGAAAAAATATGTGGAAGGCTTTGGCCATCGAGGGGCTGAAGGAGCCATGGTTCCTGCCTTCTCCGTTCTTTCCGTTCCTGATCTAGAGAGAGGGCTGAGGTCACTGAGCATCCCACCGTGACATTCGCACGCACACCTGCGTGTGGGCTGGGGCCAAGGGCTCTGCTGCGAACTAAACAAGGCACCAAGAGACTCTTCCCTTCACTGAGACAAGACAGTGTTTCCATGGGGAGGACAGAGCATTGGACCTGACACCAAGTTAGCTGGGTCTTTAGCCTGGTTCTGCTGGGAATCACTGTGGGGCCTTTGGGAAATCCATTCCTCTCTCCGAAGACCCAGTTCTTTGAACAATCCATAACAGGCTAGTTATGGAAAGAGGGGCCTTATAGAAGCAGCTGCCTGGCTCCTAGCTGGAATTGTGCCTGGATTTGATAAATGCAGAGAAGGCTGTGGTATTGGAGAACTAGATCTTACCCATCATCATTTCAAAAATAAATAGACTTCAATTTCATAGCAGGATGTGGCCCTGAACTCCCACATACTACCTGGGGAGAATCTAGTGCATTTGCAAAGGTGAGTAGCAGGCTGCATACCCCAAACCCTTCTCAAGCCTTTTCGCCTGCTGAGGCATCTTCCAAAGCCTGGATGCCCGGCTCCCGGGATACGCTGCACCATGGCCCCACTAGGCAGCAGACATCTACTGAGGGCAGAAGCTTGGGTTTTAATATAACAACTGGAGCCAATTTACAGAAGTAATATGATTTTCTAAATCATTGGAATTAGCTAGTCAAGCCTGAGAGTTACAATTACTCAGAGGCTCACAAGCCTTAATAACATCTGGAAATTCCAACTGGGGCAGAAGGAAAAAAAAAACCCAAAATCAAAAACCACATCATATGCAACAGCAAGCGAATGAGCAGGAAACTAACCCAAGGCAACATCATCCACTTTTATTATGACATCCTTAAGGTCACCATGTCAAGGGATGGAAGGAAATTAAAAGGAAGCTTCTTAGAGGACACAGCTCACAAGAATTCCTGTACTTACAGCTTGTTAATTTTCACAGTATAGTTGCCCTGGGTTGTGAATTAAAGAAACAGTTGGAAAAAAAATGTTGTGCCTTTAACTTTACTGAAGCCCCTTGCATACTTCTGTGCCTTTTGATGAGAAACATTAAACATTTTTAATTTAGCACATCAATTTGAAAATCTAATTTTTTTAATGCTTTGTAGCACCAGACACGTTCACAGTGCTGTCACGACCATAGAAGAATTATGAGAAACTTGAACCGCAAAAAGTAAATTAGAAAAATCTCATTTCAGTTACTCTAAAAAGAGGGGAAATTAGATTTTGATTAAAATCACTCACACATACAATTTTAGATAAACTAATTTAGCAAGACTGACTATATAATTTTTTTTCCTGCCAGTATGTCCCTTTAATATTGGCTGTGAGGTATTTGTACCATAACCTTCCTTACAACCAACGGATGAAAAAAAAAAGGAAACTCTAATAAATAGCCTCTTGGCCACTGTGTGCAAGGCCTGGTAGGGAGAGATTAAAGAAGTGTATTTGTCAATATAATAAGCAGAAGCTGGGAATGAATGAACGAACACTCCTTATGTAGTCCTTGTTCACAGACCCTCGGCTTTGCCTTTTCAACTTTTTTTTTCCTTATGGTTTCAACTCGGAAATTTTTACTTTGAGCAATGATGTGTCAGCTAATGTAGGAATTAACTGCATCATTAGTGCTGCATAACGTACAGCTGTGGCCGGAGGCCCCGGTCTGCGTTAGACTGAGGCTGCCACCTCCAAGGTGAGATGGGAGAGCAGCAACACAGGGCTCGCCTCATTGCAGGGAGACCCAGGCCCTCTCCCAAGGTGTGGCCAGGTGAGGTGACATGAAGCCTATGGATGTATTGCATGAACTGCTCAAGACGGTGGTGTCAGTACGTTTCTGATGTCTGAGCTCCACGGACTGCCCTGTGGTGTCTGAGCGTGGCTCTCTCCAGTCCCAGTGTAGAATCTGGGTTCTAAGCAGGAAAAGATTGATAAGGCATTGTAGTTACTAGGCATGTCACAGCAAACCTCATTTTGAAAACTGCATTGTTAGCGAATTAGAAACATTTAAATTAAGGCTGATGGGTGAATTGCCAACTCTCTGTAAGAACAGGACTGGCTGGCCTGCAGAGACGAGTGTCCAAAACTGTTCTTTCCCACAAGGCATGGGAAACGGGCTTCCTTGAGCTTGCCAGTGAGGTGTTAAGGGACCTGCATGACACAATGGGTGCGAAAGCCTTTGAGAATGGTAACACATGTCTAGGCAAGATACTATTTAAAAGGAAATAGCAAACTACCAAAGTAGCAAGTCAATAGAATGTATGTAGTTAGCAGAAGGACAAGGGAGGTAGAGGGAGAGAAATCCGTTATAGACTAATTCCTTGACCACACTTGTCTCTCAATCCGGGTGTTCAACAGGGGGTCGATAAAGAAATAGAATCAATCAGGAAACGGAAGAATAGGGAAAAGGAGAGTATTAGAAAAACTCGTGCAAACTATGTGCTTCTGGCGATAAGGATATGTTTATGTAGGTTCACCAATTGCAACAAATGTACTGCTTGGTGCCAGGTGCTGATAGTGACGAAGACAGCAAATTTGTAGGGGAAGGGTGTATATGGGAAATCTCCCATCTGCCACTGAATTTTTCTGTGAACCTAAAACTGGTCTAAACATAGTCTTTGAAAAGCCATCCTAATATATATGAATAAATGCCAATGAGTAAATAATATTGAGGTTACTGGAGCAGGTTTTCATGGATATGGAATTTTAAAAAAATTATTTTTTTGTTTGCTCCTCTTTATGTGTGCTTCGACTGAAGTAAGGAGCATGAACTTGATATCAGACACACTCATTTGGATCCCAGCTCTGCTGTTTACAAACTCTGTGACTTTGGGCAAATTACTTAAATTCTCTAAGTCTCAGTAATCCCATCTATAGAACGTATGCTGTATGTATTCTAATACTGATTTCACTGTATAATCAATAAGATTAAATGGCCTAACCTATGTGGTAAATATGGTGTTTAGCACATTATAAGTTCTTAGCAACGATGGCCAGTAGTGGCTGTAATTTCAATAGTAACTTCTATAGTGGTCACAAACAAATGTGCTGCTCTGTGTTGTGATGTGCCGTTTTTGGATAACACATCATTATGCTTGTAGGGTAATATATAGCTGAGGAAATATTTTTGTAAAAAATCAATTTTTGATATTCACCACAAATCTGTTTTGAATATGGGGAGATATTACTATCTTTTGTTACAGATATTACTATCTTTTGGGGAGAAATGGGGAGATATTACTATCTTTTGTTACAGAAGTGAGGAAAGTGTTTTCCTAAGCATGGGTCTGCTTAAGAGTGTATAGCTATTATTTATTCTAGAGATAAAATAAAAATAAAAAGAATCTTCTGAATTTTGAAAATGCCTCCTAAAATAAAAAGAAATAAAAAAATCAAAGGCAACATAAAGTAGCATAAAAAGTGGATGGCAGAGTTCGGGAAAGGAACGAAAATAACCATCAACATTTCACCGGACTAAAGGGCCATGGTAGAAGCTGTAAGTAGGGTAAATGGAGTTCGGGTTATAGAAAAGATACTTGGGAAAATCACATAAACCAAATGGAGAAGAGCCAAGAGATAAAGATGATCCCTAGAAAGAAAACAGATAATGCAAAATAAAGCAGAATTCATTATATACATAATCATTTTTAAAATATTTTATTTATTTATTTATTTTTTTAGCGAGGGAAGGGAGGGAAAAAGAGAGATAGATAGATAGATAGATAGAGAGAGAGAGAGAGAGAGAGAGAGAGAGAGAAACATCAATGTGTGGTTGCTGGGGGCTGTGGCCTGCAACCCAGGCATGTACCCTGACTGGGAATCAAACCTGTGATGCTTAGGTTCACAGCCTGCGCTCAATCTACTGAGCTACACCAGCCAGGGCTTACATAATCATTTTTAATGAGAGAAAATATACAAATTTAATAAAACTTTCAGGAATACGTGGTCCTAAAAGGCACACCGTTTCAAGAGAAGAAAAATAAAATAGAATAATAAACATTCAGATGTAGTCCAATTAATCTGGTAATCTTCAAGGGAAGGAAAAATTCTGTAGAACAGGGTTCCCCAACCAGCAGGGCCATGGACCAGTACCGGTCCATCGCCTATTAGGAACTGGGCCGCACAGCAGGAAGTGGGCGGCAGGCAAGTGAAGTTTCATTTTGCTCCCCCTCACTCTCATGACCACCTAAGCCCCATCCTCCACCACTTCCCCCAGCCCCATCTGTGGAAAAACTGTCTTCCGTGAGGCCAGTCCCTGGTGCCACAAAGGTTGGGGGCTGCTTCTATAGAAAACAGGTAGGAAGAGCAAGGGCAAAGCAGTGAGGCTCACTTCGGCTTACTCCCCTCTATCATTTACTTTTAAAGTAGGATGGGTAAATGTTTACAGATTTCTCTAGGGGTAAAAAGGAGAATTTTACTCCATATCAATGTGTCTTTGAGTGAAAAGAAAGGTATTCTTAAACATGTATGCAATTGAGGAATATACAACTCATAAATATTCTTGAAATAATTACTTCAGGATGGAATCCAACAGCCCTCTCAATGAAATTAAATGAAGGATTCAGAGATGGAAAGTAGCATTATGAAAGATTTGAGGTAGGCAACACACCCATTTCAATACATACAGTTTTTTTAAAGCTACAGCTACAGAGGTTTTGGTAACAGAAGCACATGAAACTGATGTAAATCTTGACAATGTAAGAGGCTAGTAACATAACCACAAGTGCAAGAGAGGGTACTGGTTTCCTCATCTCTAATAGCTGGAGGTCAAAAGACGCTGTACAAAGTTGAAAAGTCAATAAATAAAGGTTAAGCATGTAACTTAAAGTTCAAAGTAACTTGACAAGAGACTGATGATGAATCTCGTATATCTTTTAAATAATCAGAGTGGAACAAAAAATTAACATGGAAAATATAGATTACAAGAGAAAGGTAATAAATAACAGTACGGAAACAGAAACAGTAACAAAATATGATGAAAAATTGACTTAACACATTTCTTACATTCATTTCTTATGAATGTAAGTGTAATAAATTAACTTAAAACAGAGTGTCTCAGATCATATAAAAAGGGCAGGTTTAAAATAGCATAACATCAATAGATTAAATATAAATCAATAGGCAAAAGTCTGTAAAAGACAGATAATAAACCCCCAAGCCAAAAGCAAACAACAATGACAAAAACTAGTAGGCATAACTATTAATATTAGAAAAGAATGAATTCAAAATAAAAACATTATGTTAAACCCAAATAAAGGGTCTAATATTAGTAAAAGGTATATACCACATTGGGAATAAAGTTTGTTAATCTTTTTGCACCACCTAACAGTAAAAATAGTTAAGGCTAAAACTGCAGCATGGTGAGAAATTGACAGTTATTCTGAAAGTAGGAATCTCTCGTGCACAGCTCTTATCCATGACAGGTGATGCAAATAAAAAATCACTGAAATTACACTGAGTTTTTACAATATAAATAAGATTACTTACACACACAGACAAAACTATCAAATCTATAGAGTATTTTATGATATACATTCACGTAAATTTGTTATATGAAAAACATCAGCCATTTCTAGAAGCTGTTATGCTATAATTTTGGCAAGTTTCTCTGAAACCACAGAGTTTCATGAACTGGTGTGTGAAAAACCCTGGATTCTGAAACTAAAGCTGTATTATTACACCGGCAGCATGGATGGGGCGGGGCATCTTTCAATATCAAATGACTTTTCCCATTGCTATTTCAGAGAAAACATTGTTCTGATTATGGTTGTCTGGACAGTGGTTTATTATGACCCATTCTACCACTTTCTAGCAAAAGGACCGAAGAAAACTTGGTTTTAATCATAAATCATCTCTCAAAGATGATTTCAGTAATAATACTTAAGGTTGCGATGTACCTAATCTTGTAAGGGACCAGCTGGTTTACTCATCAACGCCCTCTGATCTTCCCCATAACTCACACTTATTTCTAATTAGATAGCAATTTCTGGCCAGTAGTTACTCTGATCTCTGCACTTGGGGTCTGTGTGGTTGTACAGTTGCAAGCCCAGGCCAGATAACAGCAGTGATCTCTTCCAAAGCCCATGGACCACTGAGCATGTGGGCCTTGAGACCCAGCTATCCCTCAGAGGCCCTGGCTGGAGCATTCTTCGCCTGGCCCTCTGCTCCTGCCAGCTGTCCGTCCCCTTGGACAAGACCTTCCTTTGTTGAATGTGGGTAATACAGGTACTGCTCTGTTATTGGTTCTGAATTTTTTTAAAAAATGTAATAGAATATATGACAGTACCATGATATAATAAAGAATTTGGAGTTTTGTGGTAGTTCTACTATTTGCTGTGATTTTAGCAAAGCCCATTTACATCTCTGGGTTTCAGTGTCTCTACTTGGAAAATGGGAATATTATCATTGGATTTGCTTCTGCCATCTGTAGTCCTTGAGAGAATAAATGAGTTGCAAGGTACTGCTTGGACTTTGTCGTGTTACATGAAAACAGATGTACATGCATCTCATTTTCTGGACAAGTTCTATAAGTTTATCAATGGAATAGTTTCAGCAAATTAACAATTACTTTTTTATAATGATTTTCATTATAAAAGCAAAAATTCTTTGGTGCTTTTCTGTTTGGCTGGTAGGCCTGTAGGTTTTAACAAGCTTCTTGGAAAGTAGTTTGGCAATATGTACCAAAGGCCTTAAACACATTCCTACCCTCTGACCCAGTAATCCCATGCTTGGGAATTTATCTTAAGGCAATAATCAGAGCTGTGCCCAGAGATTTATGGGCGATGGCATTTATCATGGTAATTTTTTTATAATAGCAAGTAGTAGAAACAACCTAAATGTCAAACAATAGGAGGTTGGTTAAATAAATTATAGTACATCTATATCTAGAATACTGTGCGGTCATTAAAAATAATGATCTCAAAGAATTTTTTAATGCTATGGGAAAATGCTTATAATCTTTTATTAAGAAAAAATATTGAGCAGATCCCAATGTGTTTTTTAAAAAGCACATATATATGTGTGTGTATATATCTATATAACAAAAAGATTCGATCTACATAGAAAAGTGTTAATAGTGATTATGGTTGAAACAAACGATTATTTTTTCTTTCTTATAGTTTTTCTTAATTTTTAGATTCTATCCAGATTACTATTATCTTCAAAAAAGGTTATATATACTGTATATTATATGTCTTAGTCTGTTTCATCTGCTATAACAAAATATCACAGACTGGATAGTTTATAAGCAACAATCATTTATTTTTCACATTACTGGAGCCTGGGAAGTCCAAGGTCAAGTGTCAGTATGGTCATGTGGTGAGAACTCTCTTCCTGATTCATAACTGGCTACTTCTTGCTGTGCCCTCATATGGTAGAAAGGACTAGGGAGCTCTCAGGAGCCTGTTACAAGAGCCTGTTACAAAGCACTAATACCATTTATGAAGCTCCCTCCTCATGATCTAAACATCTTTGCGAAAGCCCAATTACCAACCTTCCTTCCTTCCTTCCTTCCTTCCTTCCTTCCTTCCTTCCTTCCTTCCTTCCTTCCTTCCTTCCTTCCCCTTCCTTCCTTCCTTCCTTCCTTCCTTCCTTCCTTCCTTCCTTCCTTCCTTCCTTCCTTCCTTCCTTCCTTCCTTCCTTCCTTCCTTCCTTCTCCTTCTTTCCTTCCCCTTCCTTCCTCCCTCCCTCCCTCCCTTCCATTTTTTCCCTTGTGTTTTCTTTAAGTAGTATTTTTATGTATTTAGATTCCATCATTACTGCAACTAACTTTTAGATAACTTTGTGGGAAAAGTGGAAAGAGGATGATATGAATGTTGTAAAATAAGAAAATTAAGTAAACATCTATGACTTTTCTTTTTCACTATATAATTATTTCACCTCTAATATGGGATACAGAGGGTGTTGTTGGTATTGGGGAAAGTATGAATGGGGAATCCAGCATTCCCCATTATCTATTATTATAGATAATATCAGTGTAACTGTAATACTTTTCCTATTAGGCTCCAAACACCCCCTGAACATAATTTGGAAGGTGTAGCAGCAAAAAATTAAATGCTGTAAATGCTGTCTGGCAAATGAAAAGACATAATTGATTATATTATCTTACTTAAGTGCTTCTAATTGCCACAGGTAGGGTTGGTTTGGTACAGCTTTTCAACTTGCCAAGCCAAGTTTACACTGTCAACAAGCAAGTAATAAAAGTTGCCGAATGGCTCTTTTTAAAATTTCGACTCTCAGGTGTTCAATTGTATTTCAAACTTTGCTTTCGGTGCCAGACTCTCTTCTATAGTCCATGGTAAGTGGAAAAGTAATAAAATTGTCATGTTGGCACTTGGAAGAGGTCCCCAGTGCCTACCTGTTCTTCCACACTGAGCCAGCTCTTCTAAACCCACATTCAGGCAAAGAGATTCTCTTTTCTTTTGAGTTACTGACTATGACATTTACATCTCGTACTGAGAGACATCTGGAACTGGGTTTCTGGTAAGCACTTAAGGATGTCATTCTCTTTCCTTGGCCATGATGGTGATTTTTCTGAGGTACAGAAAGATAACTATTTGGGAGTCAGGACCTTAGTGTTACAGTCCTGTGGGTAGAGTGTCATGCTGGCCAGGCATCCTCTGTACATTACTCTCCAGTACAACTGGGCTAAGCATTGGAAAAGCTTCCCAATTATTCCTCCTTACTTCCCCCAAATTTTAATCACACATCCAAATTTCTTGATGTTCTTAGGAAGGGGTTAAACAAAGGGCTCACAAGTCCCCCTCCACCTTGACAAAATTACATCTTTTCTAAATATTGAGTCCCTCTATTAATGAATCAGTGCATATTTATTGGTTACTCTTTTCTGCATACACCACTCTTCTAGATGTTCTAGGGAAAGTGAAGAGAGTATAAGTCAAGTTTTAGCCCTCAAGGAATTTACAGTATATTAGGGAGACAGTTCGTGTTTACTTTAAAATAGCAACGACACGAGTCAGTTATTTTTAAGTGTCAACTGACACACCAAAGGCAGTTATTCTAAATTCTGCTAAGCTGTAAGTACTGAGAAGGCAAGGACTCCGAATTTCTGAAGGCCAACTTGGATTTTCTCCCTTGTGTT